TAATGCAATGTGATGGTGGCTTTTATAACTTCGTGCTTGAATTTGGATGGCAATTTAGTAAAAGTTTTAAAATTTGGATACGTATTGATTTTGTTTGATAGATATTATATGATTTTCTCCGTATTTTAGTGAATTTTGTAAATTTTTAAAATTTTTAGTTGTTTCTAATTACATTAGATACTTGTTGTAAGATATTCATGCGGGAGCGAACGTTAAACCAGAATTGTAGTCAGGGACACTGATTCAAGGCTTATATTCTTTCGGTGGTGGTAGCAGAAGCACTTGTTCTTAAAACCGTGATCAATACAGTTTCAATTTCTGGAATCAGGGACTTAATATGTCTTTTAGTTTCGCAAACTCTTGTCATGTTCTTTAACTTGGGCAAAGTGATCAGTGAGCTGAAAAACTTACTCTTCAATATTTGTTGTGTGTTGAGGTGTTTTTCTTCTTCTACATGTCTTATGTATGTTTTTCGTATGGCTAATGTGGCCGTTTTTGCTTTGGCAAAGTATGCACGTCTATCTTTTAACTCTGATTTCGTGTTAGGATTGATTTTTGAAACTCTCTCTCTAACATTTTTAGTTTTTATTTAGTCTAGATTAATGCTCTCTTGATAAAACTGTTTAAACTTATAACTTCTCTCTCATGTTTTATACGTATGTGTGTATTTTTGGTATTTTAAAATATGTGAAAAATGTAATGAGTTACCAAAAGTGTGGTAACCTAGTGGTAATATAAGGAGGTTAGTTTCTTTGTACCTCTATTTCAAACTCTTTTGATACAGAGAATTATTGTTTAAATCTGAATATCTAAAGATTGACTCCAAATACCGAAAAGATTTTGATCTGTCGAAAAGATTATGATCCAAAAATTCGGTGCTCTCACGCGGTTTATGAAAAAAAAATGCCACGAGTCGAAGCTAGGGTTCACACGTGGGGGATGCAGGGGTCATCGGGTTTTAAGGTTTATATATATAGCCATATAGGTTAAGAGTTTGTAATCAACTAATATCATTCATTCACACAATTAATGAAAGTCCTACGCAAAAAAAGAGTATTTGATCTCAACGTTTTTCCTCTAAATCTTTTATTGATTCGTGTTCTTGATAGTTTAGTCGGGATCATCAAACTCAAAACAGTATGTAAAAAGAAGTTAGTAGGTTTAAATTTAATAGAGTTAGTGGGAAGCTAACTCCAAAACCGGTTCGATATGTTGCAAATCATGGACGCAAACTGATAGAAACCAACATTTGTTTAATCAAGATAACGAATTAGCTAGCTACATGTTTGTATAGGAGTTTCCTTAATATCAAACTTAATCTTACAATAATAGCGTGTAAAATATATAATCAAAATAACAAGATTGAGTAGAAGAAGGAATAATTATTATATACAAAAATTCAAAAACTTTTTTTCTTCGGTTTATCTCATGGATTACATACAAAGAGTGTCAAAAAAAATTGTTCTTTTATTAACTAAAAACCCTT